TATATATATCAGTCTATTGTTTTTAGTATGTGTGAAACTCCAACAAAGTTTAATAGTAACACTTAGAGCATTCTTTCTGCATCTGCGGTGTAATTTTGTTTTTGCCTCTGTCAAAAACGTTTGGATCTCTGTCTGAAGCGGGTAACTAGATCTGTATTTCTGTCTATATATTATATGTATGGAGACTGGGGGCACAGTGGATTAAAAAAATTTCAAACCGGAATTTTGTTCAAAGTTGTAAAGGAAATTTATTCCATTTTTTTTAACAGAAGGAGAAATCTAATTTTATAATGCATGAACAGCTTGTACATTTTCAATCAATCAAAGAAGTTATGAGGACTGATTCACAGTGACCCCTCTGATCCAATGTGCCCCGGAGTGGGTGCACAGTGAATCATGCCAAGGAGCACAGTGATTTGTAAGCTTTGTTTGAACACATAAATGCAACGAACATTAACATTCAAACACTCTTCACCACATAATGTTATAGAACATAAAAAAGCAAAGTTTAAAAAGTGTAAAAGCCAATGTTGCAATGGACTAAACACTACCTCAGTCGACAAAATGCAAACTTAATTGAAACTAGCGAACTTCATTGGCATAAAGAGTAAAGTTCACATCAAATGAAAAGTGTCTTGCCACACAAGCTGTGCCGCCTTGAACTTAAGGCTTTGGGAGTTTGCCAATGATCTGGTCAAGGGATATTTCTGAAGTATCATCAGCCTGTGGGATGACAAACCAGAAAGCACTTGGTTTCTCTCCGCGGAGAAACTTAATCTCAAACAGTGTATCATTGGTTTCTGAATCCCTGCTTTTATTAAGGATTTTCCCTACATACACAAGCTTTGTCTTCTTTGTTTCAAATTGCACTAACACAAAGTCATCAGGGTTAAACTCTTCGACATCCGGTTCAAGAGTCCTGTTCGCATGATCTAAACCATCCCCACTTTCGTAATCTGAAGAGTCATCGTCATATGGGAATGTTGTCACTGTCCTTGTCAGAGTCACTTCTTTCTGCCCCAGGGGCAGTAAATGGCAACCTTGGCTTTGATTTTGAAGGCTTTTGCAGATTTATTGTTCCTTTTGTTTTCATTCTCTTGAATTTTGACTTTTTTATGAGTTGAGGTGGCAATCATGGAGGTGCATCGCTTTCTCCCT